AATCTGAGGCACAAAAGAGCGTTTTGATGGCAAACTTGTACACAAGTATTCCAGACAAATTCAGCTGGATATAATGTTGATTGGGCCTATACAATGCGAAACTGATGAACCATGACACGTAAGTGAAAACTTTATCATAGCCAAAATATAATCGAGAACGCGTCAAAACTCGGTTAGCTGGTGCCGCTGCAACCAGTGCACAAGGTATTCATTCATTAATGGATGTTTCATTGTCATCCAAGTGACATAATCGATACATGGGCTAGTGTAGCATAATATACGACAGGTTTTCACACATGACCTAACAACTTTTTCAGATATAGAAGAATCGGTTCGTCAATCCATTGTCGCGAATACCCGAGGTGTGTTGAAGAGGGAAAATTTATTAATGAGAGAAAGCAAACAGGTATTCGGCCACGGAAGGCTGCTCCTTCACCGCGTCTTAAACATGTAGTCGTGGGCGCGTGCCAGCGCCCACTGAAATCCCATGCAGCAGCGTGCCTCTAGTCGATCCAGTTTTCACGGCGCAGTCCGATAGGCATCGAGACATGCACCCGAGTTCACCATTGGCTAAAGCTCGCAAGGCGTAGACTACCAGCTGACCACAGCTTGAACATCTTGCGCCGAAGGCCGTAATCGGCGACATCCTTGCTGTTGTGACAGGGTATTTGGTGTGAGAGATTAGCGTCCTATAGTAGTCAGACACGTACCACTCGTTCCGGGGGAGGGGGGATTGCAGCAGTCACTTTTCGAGGAAAGTTGCCTTGGCGCCGATATAGATCTACTTACGTTAGTGTTACTCGTCCTGCAGAAGCACGTCTTTTCACATTTATCATCACCAGACATATTTATTATGGAACGTTAATTTAACTAATGCTTTGTTCCAGAAATTTTTTGTTTCAATTTACCATTCACAATTGGCTCAGATTAACAAAAACTATTAGCTTCAAATGCCTGTAAGAACTGGCCACTTTGACTTATTTTGTACGGTGAGCAATTTTCAATGGATACGGTCTTTATTAACGTAGGTCTTAATTATACATCATCGCAAAGGTCAACGCAAGCTGCGACGGTCAGGCTCAGCTCTTCTTTCTTATACATGAGTGGAAGATCGCAATGGGTTGTTCAAAACGACATCTCCGACAAGGATTGACAAGACAAGCGCTTCTGACAGAAAATACGTTTCCCATCTTAGCTTAATATGCGCGAAAGAGCTGGATATTTGATCCAGCTCTTGCCACTGTTGCCATTTAAGGGGTCCGTAAAAAAGAAATAGTCTAGCAGGTTTTCCATCCGGGAACTTGGCGTGCTCGCTGCTGGCGATCTAGAATTGATCGCAAGCTCAAACTTATCAATTTCATATACAGTAGTGATGTCGTGTTGTGTACCAATTTTCATAGCCATATGACATATCCTTAGTTGAAACCCCCGTTTAGGCCCTGCGGTTCGCTACAGGTATTGCGAGTTAAAAGAGATGCAGTTGTTATTCGTGTCAAGGAAACATTCAACCCGGATAGCCTATCGGGGATAGAAAATCGACGAATTGGCAGACATCGTTGATTGCGTGCGGTTTTGTTTATGGCACTGAATTTAGAACATGTTCTTGAAATTTATCAGACGAAAATGGTGGAAGGTAACCACATTGGCTACAAGGAGGTGACAGGATAGACAAGATCAACTTTGTTGAGTGACTTCATCAACGTAAACTCCTTGTGTTCTGCAACTCGCAGCTTCCAAGCAGTCTTGTGCACGGATTGGCATTGGACTTTTAAACGACCGAGATTTTCTTGCGGAGACGACGAGCAGGAGCGTTGCACTTCGTGTCCTGTGCCTCCGACGATGGAACTTCGGTCGTCTGCGCCTCAGTTGACGGGGTCTTCTCTGCCGGGTTTTCATCAGCTGGAGCTGGTGTAGCTTGAGTCGCAGGAGCTTCCGGAGTCTTTTCCCCATTTGAAGAGCTTTTCTTTGACTGCGTTTCCGGTGAAGGAGCCTCCAGCGCTTGTTCCTCCGTTCTTGAACCAGTAGTCGACTTAACAGGCGCCTCAGGGGTTTTCTGTTCAGCGCCAGATCCACCAGTCGACGCTTGCGTTTGCGTCGCTGAGCCGCTTCCTTGCAGAGGAACACAGTTAACGTACGCCTGCCATTGCGCATTCTGGAACCCCAGCCAGTAGATTGTCAGTGTGCATTTGCCGTTGCACGACGAGAAGTCGACGGGCATCTCCGACATCTTTTCCGAGCCGTCGGGACCACCTGGAAAGTCTTCCTCACAGTTGTCACCGTGAAGAACCATCTTGTCGTCAATGTAAAGCTCGCACGGACCAACGTGAGTGAAGCCTCCACCGCCGTTGCCCCACCATTTAACCTTTCCGTCCGCGGGGATCGGCTTAGGGTCCACGTCCGTGCGTGTATAGCCGCATTTCTTGTCCTTGACCATGTCCAGCACGACATCCTTCACACTCATGCCTTTCTCCTTGGCCATGGTCTTAAACTTGCCGACTTGGTCACCACCAGATCCGATGTCCCAGTAGTTGTCAATCATCGTGACCCATTCGACGGTAGGTGCTCCATCTTCGAACGTCGCTGGAGGTTCCTTGAGATTGCCGTGGGCATCGGCGATCGGGGCGAAAGCTAACAGGGTGATAGCAGATAGAACAGCTCCAACCAGCATCGTCGTATTGGCGGTAGACTAGAAATTGGAAAGTGAGCTAATGCTGACAGCACTGAATAATTTCGATGGGATCACGACGTTTTGAGCCCTGTCAAACAGCGAAA